CCAACCACTGCGCCACCAGGGAAGGCCCTTGCAAATGGTTTTGTGTGTGTTTCCCTGCTCGGCTCTGAACTTCCAGGGGGCAGAGATTGTGTCTTCATTGTTTTTGTATTGCTGTGCTTACCACAGACCGGGGCCCATTATCTGAACTGCAGGAATTCTGTATTTACCTTTAAAATGTAGGCAGATCCCTTGAGAGAAAAGGTTACTGAGAGAGGCTGCCATGGTGGAAAGGTTTGAGTGATCCAGGTAACTGAGGCAAACAGGAGTTTAGGGAGGATTCTGTGGGTAGGGAACAAGGGACGCCTGGCCCAAGGGTACTACGTTCCCTAAGTAACTGACTCTTTACCATACTTTAGTAGTAAAGTACCCTGGCCTTGGAGCAGAAGAGGGAAAGAAGCTTATCAAAAAGATCAATATTCTCAGGTAAATCATTAGCTTTCAATCAAGATTTTAAAAATCTTAATGTTTTTCAACTGTGTTCTTTCAGCAGCAGGCCTGGGTGACCATCCTGCGGTGGGCTGGTGGCCTCTCCCGGCAGAAAGGAGGCAGAAGGGGTGCTAGTCTCCACCAGGCATCCGGTTTGCTGGGGAATGACACAGCCCTGCAGGCTACCAGGAAGATGCTGAAGGTCCCACAACGCTGGGCTCCTTGAGGTCAAACCCTAATGTATGTGTGGCTTTTGGGGTGATGTGATTATCAGGGAGCAGGGCTACTTTTATTTCGAGAGCTGGCTTTTCTCAGGTACGCCTTGTTTTTCAGGACTGTACTCACCATGTCTTCCTTTACCTTTTAATTTAATTAAATCAGCATTTGTTGAGCCTATACCAGGGGCTGTGCTATTGTGGGAGATTTAAAGATGAAAAAGATTGACCCTAAAGGAAAACCGGCAAGATTAAAACATACTAGGAACTTTGAGATAAAAGTCTTTATCATGCTATATGGATAAAATTGAATTCAACGAATATATGGAACACCTCCTAGGACAAAGGGGCTGTGCTACACGCTGGAGTGCAGGTGAGGACACCTGTGGTCCTCCAGGAGCTTGTTCTTCAGAAGAAAGAACCCTCCCAGGACAAGACCTTGGCTCCAAGTGGGATAATTACACGTTCCCCACGTCATCACCCCTCTCCAGGGTTAACAGATTGCACGCATAGGAACCGGCACAGGGGCGTGCCTCTGGAACCTGTCAGCGCCATCTCTCCAGGTGGGAGGTGGCCCTACGAAGCCGCAGCTCCCAAGCGGAGGGATCCATTCGGCAGAGGTGGCCAGCGCCCTTCCAGACAACAGGGCTCCAGCCCCTTCCACTCAGGCTCTGGTGGGAAGGGGGGCATTGGAGCCGTAGATCTAGATGGAGAGGACGGGGAGATCCCGAGATGGAGGGGGCTGGGGACCCTAGGATGGAGAGTCTGGGATGCACCTAGAGAGGGGGATGCTGGAGGACCCTGGATGGAGGCGTCCGGGGTGGGCCGGGATAGACGGCACCGGGACACCTGGCTGCCGGGCTGCGGTCCCTGGCGTGGGACTCTGTGCCCCTCCGCTGCGGGCGAACGGCCGGTTGCCCACCCTCGGGCCCGCCACCCACCTGGGCACGCCCTGGCGTAGTCGAAGCAGCAGTCCCCGGTGAGGCGGCAGGCTTGGTCGCAGAAGCACGTCCCGTAGACCCGGTCCTGCCTCCAGCCGTGGGAGAAGCAGGCGAGGTCCCGGCCGGGGCAGCAGCGCCCCGCGTCGGAGCAACCTGCCAGGGCGTTGGGCCACAGCCGCGCCAGCGCGCACAGCGCCATCCACAGGGTCCTCATGGCACGCGCTCCGCACACCTTCGGGGAGAGCGCTGGGCTTCTCGGAGAGCGCCAGCCCCGGAGCAGCCCGGCCTGGCCCTGCCCCGCGCCGGCCCCCGCCCTTCCCGCCGCCCCTCCCCAGCCCTGGCGGCGCGCCCGTCCTGAGCCGGGCGGGGAGGGCGCCTCAGCCCAGGGTGCCCGCGATCGACGCTCCGGGCCCCGGCCCCCTCCCCGCGGCGACCCCGCCAGGAGGCAGCGGAGGAGCAAGTGCTCTGGGATCCCAGCGGCCCAGCGAGGTGCCGGGCCCCCAGCAGCCCCGTCAGGGCGGCCACCACATCTCCTGGTTCCCGACTCTGCTTCCTGACGTCTGCGGACACGTTAGCCCGCGGGGCACTTTGACTCCAAGGCCAAGAGGCGAATAGCGCTTGATGTGCCCGTGCGGGGCTCAGCCGCACCGTGCGCGCGGGTCACCCAGGCTTCGCCCAGGAAGCCCACGCTCTGCTTTTCCCGGGACACCAGTCCCCCGCCCCCGGGCCACGCAATCGAGAGCTAAGACTGAAGAAGCATGCTTTATTCCTGCAGCTTTTATAATGGGATTTTCCTGCCCCAGGAAAATGCCACTTTGCGTCACAGAAGAGGCAATTAATGATACATAGAATTGGGGCTTCCCTGGTGGCGCAGTGCTTGAGAGTCTGCCTGCCGATGCAGGAAACGCGGGTTCGTGCCCCGTTTCGGGAGGATCCCACATGCCGCGGAGCGGCTGGGCCCGTGACCCATGGCCGCTGGGCC